CCTGAAAGAGTTAATCCATCAAGATGGATCCTGACTGTGTCTACCTGGGACTGCAGACCGCTAGGCCACACACATATTCTGCGTTCAGGAAAATCCCCAGGCTAGCTTAGCTTTGGAATTTTCATAACTGTCTGTTCTTTGTTTACCTGTCCTGAATCAGCCAATAGACTATGACGTGCATCAACCAATCAGAACTAAGCAAGTTTGCATCTTCATTTGCATAAGCCAACCTGAGTGGAAACCTGAACAGGAACCCTCTCCATTTTAGACAATCCCTTTCTTTGCTCTCTTGTAATGCACCTTCGTCGCCTTACCCCGGTTTGAAAAGTGCTTAGTAGATAATAAAGCGTCATCAGCCTGTTTACCTCCTTCCCTGGACAAGATTATTTCTCTTAATGGGAATGCTGTGGAGCCTCAAAACTCACAGCCCAGTTTAAATGGCATTAGATGTCTCTGAAAATCTTTTGCAAGTGGATTTGTTGGCAAGACATATTCAGTTTTGGTAGCACCTCTGGGTTAAGTTTGGTTCCTTTACAGTAGATCCCTAAGTGCTTCTTTAATTGGGTGAAGGGACACTTCCCCTTTCCCCTGAAAGCCTGGTGAAAGATCAGCTCACAATTAATTAGATAAATAAGAGAAAGAGGTTTCATTTTGATTCAAGAAGGCTAGATTAAATATATGTATTTACCGTGGGCACAGGGAGAATTACAGAGTGACTACCATTAGGGGCCTAAACCCTTCCCCCACCTTCCCTCCCAAAACAAAAGGCCCAACGGGCTCGGCCCAAGAGTTCCACTAGAAAGACCCTAGCCTGCTGAAACCTCCCAGCAACCTGTGGACTCTTCTTCCCCCTACACCTAATATAAAAACAAACCTCCAACCATCCTTACTGCAGCCACCATCTTTGCCAAGGCAGGTGTCTGTCCCCTTTCATTAAAGTTGGGCTGAACCTCTCCTTTCTGGGTACACTGACCAAATTATCCATTATCCCAGTGGGGTCCACACATTTTTATACTTCCTGGGAGGGAGAGATGAAGAATATGCATAATTCTGATTAGGGGCAATACACGGTTGCTAGGAGGGAGGAATGGAAGGGGGTAACAGACTGACTTACAAATGATTCTTTTTGAAAATGAAATTAATTTTGAGAGACAGGTATTATATCTAAAATGATTTGGGCCAGGTCTGGTTGCATTCTTGATCCTCTTTCTTGCAATATTGTGAGATAACAGGGTAGGAGGGGGGAAGTCAATTGCTCTTTTGATGGTCCATCTGGTTATGCAGAAAGAGGGAAAGCCTCTTCCAAGGTCTTGTTGATCTGGAAGGGCTTTTCATTCAGAGTACTCTTTATACCAAGGAGTCATAGTCTGGGGTGACATTTCCTGAGCTACTTCACAAATATTCTGCTCCACTCTACAACAGACTGAACCAAACCACAAACCTTCATGTGTGTCTGAAGGTTTAAAGATTTTCATACGTTCACAATGCAGACTGTTAGGCAAGACACTGCATGTGCATGAAAGCCCAGACTTGGTCTTTAACTGTGGTGCCCTCATGCTTCCGGCAATTAGCATTAACTTGCACATTCTACAGCTCAGCCCTATTTCCTGGCATGTGTACACTTGGAAAAATAAAGAGACAGGCATATTTGATAGGAAGTCTTGCTCACTTATGCCCTGACCCTTTCCCCCATCTGACATGGTAAGTAAGACAATAAGAATTGGGCAAATGTGACTCCCATAAGGGAAAAGTTTTCAAGGCTGTCAGGATACTGAATAATCCTAACGGAGAAATGTTTTAAAATTTAGAATTAGTAATTAATCTAAAGCTCATATTTCTGAAAGAGACCTTTTTAACCTGATAAGGCAGTTTATTTAAGAAAACACATTTATTAAAGGGCTGAAGAAATGACAACCAGGTTTCAAAGCAGGAACAATATTACCTTGGGAACACTCCTCATGAACGTTTGTATTCCACCTTCCCAGGTTAGCACACTTCTAATGCTCATTGGAACTGTGCTGTGAGTTTTGAAGGAGCAAAATCACTGAGCTCTAAGGGCCCAAAGCATCCCCATTGAGAGAAATAATCTCTGGAAAGTTCCCATTCTCTGCTTGTCCCAGAGAAGGAGGTAAGTAGGCTGATGACCCTGAGCACAGGTTGATGCCAGAGCCACTGGCAAGAGGAAGCAGGGAACAAGTATAAAACCCAAACACTGGACGGAGCTCTCCCTCCCTCCCTACACACACACACACACACACACGCGCGCACACACACACACACACACTTTCCATGCCTCTTACTTTGCTGACAGACAGAGAGAATAGAGACAGCAGCCAGCAGGATAGAATTCCCCGCCATCTTTCACAGGAACGTTCTGGTTCACAGAACTATTTGTAGAAAGCAGGAGATGATAAGAGGCACCTTTGACTTTGCAAAGCTGACCTTCCTTATCAAGGAAACAAAGTTGAGGAAGAAAAAAAAAAGGCTGATTCAAGCAGCTAAGTGACCTTTGCTCTGGAACAGAAATCAAGAAGGCTGGCAGGTCTGCGGCTGCCAGTCACAGATCTTTATCTGGCCTGGGAGTTGCTTCCTGAGTTTGCTTTAAGTCTCTTCCTGCTCTTCCTGCAGCCAGCCAGCAGGGCTGGAGCTCAGCCTGGAGACTGGCCCTTCAGTAATAGCCCACAGTTAAACTACCTTCTCTGCCAATTCATAGACTCCCGGGTCCCCTTTCATCCCCACGCCCTCCCCTCCCCAGAACTTGCCAAAACCTTTCTCACTGCTGTGGGAAAGTAAGAAGGAAGTGCTTAATTAATCCTACTAAAATTTTAAATGAGAATTTGAGTCAGTTCTAACTTTATTCACCCAGTAAATGGCAGACCCAGGATTTGAACCCATCTAACAAATTCCATCTGTGGAATCCCCAGTAATCTCCAGCAATCTCCAGTACCATCCTGCATCACACTGTCACCTGATCTTAGTGACCACACGTTTTTACAAAAATAAACCAGGATACTGTGATCTGTGGGGGAAGAGGGCTCTTGAGTAAAGTGAAAGATATAAACAGTAGTGCCCAGAGAAAAGGCTGCAGTGGAGATATTTAGGCCAAATTTATTGAAAAGGGAGGGTGGCTTGCCTGGTCAGTGCAAAAATGGAGCTGCGCCCTGGGGCAGTTAGAGACTTCTTTTATAATATAGGGCCTAAGGGGTCAGCAAATTCCACAGTTTGCCTGGAAGGTTAGGGTCCTTTGGCAATGTGAAATTCCTGGGGGGTGGAGCTAGTCAGATCCTTTGTGTCTTTGTCTTAGGAGGAAAGCAAGAGGAGTAGAGGAAAGGGTTTGTGTGTGGCTGCATTAGGCCCTCCAACAGAAAGAAGCGGACCAATATTTGTTTCACTTCTAGTGGTAAACACAGCACACATGGCCACCACACTGGCCCAGTGTAGTAAGTTCCCCAGCATGCACACTAAGACCCTGATTCCACCCATATTGGGGGGTGGGGTAGATCTTCCTGTTTGTTTTATTTTGAGGCATCTTTTGGGGGATGGATGTTATGAGGCTGAGTAGAACTCCAGAACCAGTTTGAATTTACAACTCATTTGCAGTTTCCAGAGAAAGTGAGTGGGGTTGAGTCTTAGGCCACCATTTCATTTGAGAAAGGTTTTGTGAATCTTCCATTCCTATAAGGCATTTGACATACTGAAGTGCCATATTGGGTGACATTTGTCCCCCTTAGGATTATCACAGAACTAGACCACCATTTGGGAAGGATTTACCTTCCAGAACTGTAGGTCATTTGGGGACCATCTGAGGTGCCATTTGGGGTGGTGTTTGTCCCCTTTGGATTCTCACTGGATAGGCTCTGGCATTTTTGTGTTGGGAATCCCCTGAACTGTCTGTTAACTTACAAGTTTTGTTGCTCCATCTCAAAATCCCTGGGAAAAAACTTTGAAAAGAGAATGGTGTTTGACCATGGCATTTTATATTTTTTGTGCTAAGAATTCTCTATATTGTTTGTGTCTGATTGTAAACTTTTGTACTACTTGTCTGGTGAGTTTTTTTATATTGTAATGTCACTTGTATGGAATGAGAAACTAAGTGGTGGCTGCCTAATTTTGATCTTGACATGCATTCTGTTTGTTGGCCGTTGGTCAATCTTCTTTTTGCCTAGTAATGTGCTGTTGTAAATATACTACCCCAAGCTTTACAATGACATACATAAGTGAGTACAGAACTTCTGTCTAAAACATGGTCCCAAATCCGTGGGAAGTGGCTTGAGGACTGAAGTGCTCTGCCTCCCATAGATATAGAAGTGTAAAATGGAGAGTGAATTTCAAACTGCCTCTTTGAAACCCTCTTGCCTATTTTGAGTGCTAAAACCTACATCCCTTCCTCAGGCCAGTCTTCCGCAAGGTCAAGGGCATGCCTTTGTTTCTTTTTCTTTGTCCCACAGAAAATGGGACGAATCCAGGTTAGAGTCATGAGATTATCTTAGTTGAAGATGAATCACAAAACCACCTTAACCAAAGATGGGATTCACTGGGGTGGAGGTCATAAGATCACCTTAACCAAAGAAACTAAAAATGGAATTGATCAGAACCTTGAAAAGCTCCATACTTCTGGGTGGTGCCTGTGGCTCAGCAGGTAGGGTGCAAGCCCTATATACTGAGAATGGCGGGTTTGAACCCAACCCCAGCCAAATTGCAACAAAAAAATAGCTGGGCATTGTGGACAGCACCTGTAGTCCCAGTTACTGGGGAGGCTGAGGCAAGAGAATCACCTAAGCCCAGGAATTGGAGATTGCTTTGAGCTGTGACACTACAGCATTCTACCAAAGGCGATAAAATGAAACTCTGTCTTAAAAAAAAAAAAAAAAAAAAAAAACCCCACACTTCTGCTTACAGGGAGGAAATTTGGACTTTGAAACCACAGTGCTCCATTTTCCTCCTTGGCCAGCAAAGTCATAAACTTCTCTTTCCTTTTCCCCAGCCACTTGCCCTTGTTCTTCTGATGCAGCTTTGTGGACAAGTCCCATGAGTTTAGTAACAGGGGTGAGGGAAAATTTCCCCTTTCCCCCCAGAAATTCACTGAAAGATCAACCACAATTATGGCAGATTAATAATAGGAAGAGGTTTATTTATCATGCACACAGGGAGAATCACAGAGTGATTACCCAATATCCTAATGGGATCCAAGTATTTTTATACCTCCATTTAGAGGGGAGAGGGCAATGGGAATATGGGTAACTCTGCTCAGGGGCAATTAATGAAGGTTGCTAGGGAGGATGAGCGGGTGGAAAAAACAGATTGAAGTACAAATGATTCTCTTTGCAGATTAACTTTGAGAGGCAGGTACTATGTTTAAAATTATTTGGGCCAGGGCTGGTTGTATTCTTGATTTTCTTTCCTAGAATATACTGAGATAACCTAAGAGAAGTCCATTGTTCCTCAGAAGGGTCCATCTGGTCATACAGAAAGAGGGAAAGTCCCTTTCTTGTCAATCTTGAAGGACCTTTCATTCAAAATACTCTTTATACTATATTTTGGGGATGTAATTTTCTGACTCCTTCACATATAATGTACTTGATGTCAAAAGATATTTTCGAAGGTAAAAACCATGCCTCTTATACAATATAAAATGAAAACACATCAAAAATGTTATTTAACTTATTCTTGATGGATCAAGTAAGATGTTATAACCAATTCAAAGAACAATTCAAAGAACCATACATACCTGTAAATAGGAAATAAGAAATGACAAAAATTAATTTACAAATACTTGCAAGCCAGGTCTGCTCACAGTGCCTCATTGGACTCTTCAGGTTCCCTCGGCTCACACTTATTCTTGAGATCATTGAAAACTAAGATTACAAAAGAATACAGAGCCTCGAAGTTCAAGGGAATGCTGCAATTTTCTTGTGTACTCAGTTTAATGGTTTGGGCCTACACAGCAGCAATTCTAAACTGCAAACCAGCTGCCCTGAACCCAGATCACCATCCACTACAATAACTTCCCAAAATGACAGCCTCAAAGGCCCTGAGCTGGGCCTGTGAAAAGACAGAGGCTCTCAAAGCAAGAGAAACACTCCAAGAAAGAAATGGCAGGAGCAGGAGCTGAGCAGGAAAGTGTGGCCCCTGGCTTACGGCTGCAACTGTTGGGTGCCTGTCACTCCCGTTTGGAGAAACTTTGGGTGTGCCCACACTGGTGAACTGATAAAAAAAAAAAAGCCACAACTCCCAAATGACCTTTGGACTGAATCGTTGTCTTCCCACTTACCAGACAAATCCTGAGGTTCCCTATGGACTTCTCCCGGCCACCCCCAGTCAGTCCCCAAATCCAGGTCCTTAGAGATGATTGATACAAAGCAAAAAAAAGGAAAGTGCCTGAAATGTTTTGAAACCCCATGCAACTACTTTAATAGATTTTGATTGTTGCCATAAGTAGTCTCTGCTTCTAGAAAAGCATAAAACAATGGAGCTTTGGATAACGACATGTTTATTACCTTCTCCAGCCGTAGAATTTCCCAGATGATCCCATGATTGAAATACTGCCATAGCATTAACAAAACCCAACACAAATTAGAGTTTCTCTGTACATTTTCCCTGAACTGGCTTAAATGGAATGGCATTTTCTCTGAATATGGTACATAATATAGGTCCTTCTAGTATGTAGTATGGGTTATTCTATATGCTCCATTTCTGTAAGAAAAGAAATGTTACAGGACAGATAGCATATTGATAATTGCTACGGTTTGAATGTTTCCTCCAGAACTCATATTGAAATTTAATTGCCATAGCAATGGTGTTAAGAGGAAGGATCACCAAGAGGTAATTAAGCCATGAGGGTTCTGCCCCCGTGAATGAATCAATGCCTGTATCACAGGAGTGGGTTCCTGATAAAAAGCGAGGTTGGCCCCCTCTGCTCCTGCTGTCTCACACTCCCTCACCCTTCTGCCTTCTGCTTTGGCAGGACGTGGTTCAAAGGCCCTGGCCAGATGCCTTGACGTTGAACTTCCCAGCCCCAGAACTGTGAGAAATAAAATTATTTTCTTTATAAATTACTGAGTCTATGGTATTCCATTACAGCAACAGCAAAATAACTGAGACAGTAATAATAGCAAAAATATTTTTGAAATATTTACATCATCTATTTAAAATCAAAAGAATCCTTTAAGAGTTTCTGAGAGTTTAACTTATTAATTTTTTTATTACTAAAATTATACTCTGGGTAAGGCAAAACAGATGGGCCAAGGTTTGGTGATATTAAAACAGGCCTGAACCATTTGAAGGATGTTTTCATGAAATATAAACTCTAAATGTAACTACAGGAGAACCTCTGTAAGTTGACAGACTGGTCAACACACGGAGGTGGTCAACATAAAGAACTAGGCCTATTGTACTGATGCACACATGTGGTGCATGTCTGGTCTATGAAAATTAGGTCAACTTAAGGAGGTGGTCAATACAGGAGGTGGTCACTGTGGAGGTTTTACTGTATTTCTCTGTAATTTTGGTGGTAGATGAAAAGAAATGA